TACAGTAGGATCAGTGAGAAAAAAGCACCATGATCCAATTCAGTCTGCCAGAAATTTGGAAATGGCATTCTGTACTGCTTGGCATTCACACTGGAAGCTCCAAATTGAACATTTCAGAGTGTTTGGGTTTCAATCTGAGGACAGTGCAGAGGATGCTGTGTCCTCAAAAGATGTACCAAGAGTGATGAAAACCAAATATCCAGTCAACACCATGGTGTTTAGAGTGATCACTAGTGATGGCAATGTTATGCCTCCATTCATCTTCTCACTGGGCCCCAGACTTAACATGGAAGCCTAGATCAAGTGCCTTGAGGAAGTAGTGTTGTTCTTGGTCAAGACGATGGAAGACCCTACTTCTGGCAACAGGACTCTGCACCATGTCCCACAAGCAGGAGAACCCAATCATGACTGTTAGACAATTTCTGCAACCACATTACCCCTTACATCTGGCCACCTAACTACCCAGACTGCAACCCCCTAGATTATTATGTGTGGGGCGCAATTGAGCGAGAGACCAACTCCTTGCAACACCAAAGATGTACTGAAGACAAGGCTTATGGAACATTCACCAACTTAAACAAGGAAACTCTCCAGAAGAGATGCAGGAGATTCCAAAGTCATCTGGAGGTCATGTTTGAATCCAATGATGATTTTATTGAATAAATTTATTCTTTACTATTTCAAGATATTTTTGTGTAGTTTTGGTAAATATATCTGTTAAAATGAGATGTCGGTGTTATTTTTATTTTTGCATAATTTAGTTGACAATTTATTCATTGCGACTTGTATATGAGGGCCGATATTACAGTAGTACACTACTGTTTTCTTTGTTTCTAATAAAACTTTCTTGTTGCTTTTCTTAGTTTTTGGAAGGCATCATTCATTATTTTAATGCAGCTTCTGATGTGTGACATTTTCTGTCCTCTGTTCAAACACATCCCAGGTATTTAAATTTGTGTACTGATATGATTTTGGCGTCTCCAATTTGCAGTTAGCTGCATTCGTCACAAGTGGAAAAAATTTAAATCTGCATGGCACTTTACTCCAATTGGCTCATTCGCTTGCTTAAACTCAACATTGATTCTGATTCCGCAGAACTGGGTTGGGTGTGAAAAAGTATTTGTTGTTAACATTCTTTTTTCATTTGGTTTTTCCAGTTACGAGTCCTTTTTTAAAGCTGATCGTTTTGTGTTCATTTTGTTTAGTTCTTTTTTCATAACAGATTTAATGTTTAGTTAGAAAAAATGTGCAGTGTAAGATAGGTAAGAAGTAAGGCATGTAGCAACATCAGCACAGCAAAGGGCACTCCTTTAAAGTCAAGGAAGGGCAAAAATATTTTAAGTCAAGTGATAGTGATTGGTGTATGAGTCGTACGATTTTTGAATCAAGCACGGGCAACGCTGGGTCATGCTGCTAGTATATATATATATATATATATATATATAAACCAAAGCAGAAAGAAGAGCAAGAATTAAAAAAAATATTACTCACTGTGATATGGTGAATAAAAAAATATTTTAAAAATGCTAACTAAATGCTCCTTACTTTTCAAAGCTCAACTGAGTACAAAAGATATAGATATGTGCACAACCATTAATAAAAAGTGAATAAAAAATACTAGATAATCAATAATGTAAATTCACAGATAGATTACATGAAAACTCAGCAACCATTTCTTCTCCTTAGAGGGAAGGCTGTCTAGACTTAATATACTAGATTTCAAGCACTTTTAACCACTGAAGAAAAATACTATCAGAGAATCAGCAATATAAAAATCACAGATTACATGAACACCTAGCAACTGTTCCTTCTGCTGACAAACAGAAGGCTGCCTAGACTTAACATACAGTTTTCAAGTGGTATTCCAAAAGTGTTCTGCTGATTACTGTGAAAAAAAATAATTATTAAATGACAAGGTGCAATCTGAGTTATTCCTTTATATAGGGTGACCCCAAAAAATGGGAACTTTTTAACAATTCAATAAAACCAAGAGTGATGGAAGAAAAATATTTTATTCATAGTAATTGAAACTTTAAAACATGCCATTTAAGAAACAATGATGGAATTTTCATTTTTTTAAAATTACGTCCTGTAGATGGCGTCCTCCTGTACGAATGCATTCTTGAAATCTGCTGTTGAGATTCCTCATTGACTGCTGCAACATCTCAGCTGGGATACCGTGAATTTCATCTTGAATTCTAAATGGCGAAATGTTTACCTGCTCAAGTCTTGCAGTGTTGCCACTTGCTCATGTCTGGCAATACGCACTTCAAAAATTTCCATTTTTTGGGGTCACCCTGTATTTCACTTCAAGCAAGGCACTAAAGCCACTAAGAAGCAAAGGATTGCTGAGTGTGAAAAAGTAGGAGAAAAAGAAAAACATTGAGGAGAGAGAACAATAAAAGAACAGGAATTAAGAAAACAGAAGCATTTAAATTTTTGAAGATCAAGGTTAACTTGGAAAGCAAGAAGCCAGAAGCATTTAAATTTTTGAAGATCAAGGTTAACTTGGAAAGCAAGAAGCCAGAAGAGGGTTCCCTGAGTGAGAAGAACAAGAGAAAAAAATCTGTTAGCATAGAAATTAGTCACATCTTAACATTTCAACTGTAATTATTAGATGTTCTTAAAATTTATTTACAAATATTAATTTTATTTATTACCTGTTTCTCAATTGCAGAATTTGAAATATTAACAAGTGTATGCAAATTTTCATACTGCCCTCCATGAATCTTCATTTGTACATGATGATCAATTTTCACCTCCAACTTCCGATTAGTTCCATAAATATATTCAGCCTTGCCCTCACATTTATAATCATTCTGAACTAACAGAACATCTTTACAAATGGCTTGAGAAGTGAAAACAAGTCGTGGATTGGCAGAAAAATAACAAAGTTGCACACTTTAAGAGATGTAATTAGTAAATCTAGTGCTAATCTCATCAATTCAAACTGTTTTAATATATTTGTATATACAGGGTGTCCTTTCAAAATTGACTTCATTTAAAATGTGAATATCTACATGTTCCAGGCAAACAAAATTAAATAGGCATCATGTTGAATAATAATAATAAAAAAAAACAAAACAGAAAAAAACAGGCAATCATCTTTTTGTCATTCATTTCCAGTAAATTTTCCAAAATGGGTCAGCACAGCCAGGTAACAATGCAGCAGTGAAAGTGTTAAAAAAAAAAAAAATAATAATGAACAATGTGATGCTCAACATCTGAAGAAATTCATTCATTTTTATTAACAATGTTTTTTCTGACTCCAGAAATCAATTTATTTCTTTTACAATTACCAGCCTTAAAGACAGTTCTCAGAGAAATTTGAGCCTTTATTAAATAAACTAAAGTGAAACACAGAGACGGAACTTGATCCAAATTTTGGATATACAGCTCTAAATTAACTATAGTCTCCCTTAGCATTGGAGATGGGTGCTGAAAACGACTTTCTTAGCTTAGGTGATAGGAGCTCAAAACAAGTCTTCCTTAGCATTGGAAATGGGTGATCAAAATAGCTTTCTTAGCATTGGTAGCTCAAAAACAAGGTTTGATTACTATAGCACACAGGAGCTCAAAACAATAGCCTTCCTTAGCATTATCAATACAGCTTTATTAGCATTGGCAAATGTAGCTCAAAAATAATTTTTTTTTTTTTTTTTTTTTTACTATAGCACATGTGAGCTCAAAACAGCTTTCAGCATATGAATTGGGAGCTCAAAATCAAGTTTTTCTCTCACACAAGAGCTCAAAACAAGTCTTCCTTAACACTGATGATGGGTGCACAAAACAGCTTTCTTAGAGCTCAACAACAATTCTTACTATAGCACACAGACATTCAAAACCATAATCTTTCTTAACAGGCTACGAGTGCTCAAATTAAATATTAATCATATTAATCATTTATTTTAGAACCATAATTTCCATTTAATGATGTTATCAAAATTAAATGCTTTAATATTTAAATCAACCTGTGCATCTGAAATGTTGCTAGTCCCAATTGTAAGGCATATATTTTCTAATTCTTAGTTTTTAAAACCAAGTGGCATTGTTTAACCTTTGTTCCCACAAAAAAATAGTGCCAAAATGAGTCTTTGTCTTGATACCATTATTATTATTTTGACTACCTTTACTTCTCAGCCATGTTTGTTTTTAAGCGATGATTAGAATTTTAATGAAACCTAAACATATGAAAGTGAATTTTGAACATCATTTTTGTTCTTGAGAATTTAAAATAAAAACATTAAATGCTATTTATTCGAGAGAAACATCAAAATTCAGTGAAGTCATATGCCATAGTGAAGCTCGGTGGAAGTGTCATTGGTATGAGGAGCATTACACATTCAGCTCGCTTCAGGTGAGTTTCAATTACTTTCCAGTAATTTCCTTCTTGGAATGATTAGCAAAATATTGGCTAATTGCCAATTGATTCAAACTTTATAAAATGGTAAATAATAAGGATTTCCTTATAGTTGGTTCACACATTTTATAATTTAGTAAAATTTAATACAAATAAAAATTGTTTTCATATTTATTTCTTTATGAATTAGTAAAATGATAAATATTGCATTGTATTAATTTTAATACAACTGTGTTGGAATTTTGTAAATATAAAACTATTCTTGTAAATAAACAGTCTAATAAATAAATAGTGTTTAATATTTTTGTTTTAAATTCTCAAGAACAAAAAAAAAATTTCATAAATTCACTTTCATCATATCTTTAGGCTTTATTAAAATTCTAATCATCACTTTTATAACAAACATTGGCAAGGAGTGATGGTATTTAAAATAGCAGCAGTGAAAACCTCCTTTTGAAACACCATTTTTTGGCAGTCACAAAGGTTAAACTTTGCCAATCAAATTTTATCTGCCATTCTGAATTGTCTTGTAAAAACAAAAAAACAAGATGTTTGCTTAATTCTTTATTTTTTAACATCCAAAAAGCAACAAGAAGCACTAAAGCATTAATAATTACTTTTTGAAGAACTTTGTTTATTTTTAAACTTGTGAGTTGAGACCGCTAAGAAAATCTTCCAGTTCATCAAATGTTGTTTGGGTGTGAGAGTCTGTAAGAAAAGTGTCCAGGTCGCACACATTGAAACCTGTTTGAGTCTCCATATCTGAGAATTCAACATCTCTATTCAAGTTCTGGTTGGACAGTGTAGTCTGCGTGCCTGCAGTGATGAGACTGCGATTCTCTAAGCAGTCAAGCTCGCCAGCAGTTGTCTGTGTCTCAATGTCCGAGAACTCCAGCCCAGGGAAGAACGTATCATCAACTGTTGTCTGTGTCTCTGTAGTGTTTCCAAACAGGTCCAGCATGTCCTCAACGGTTTGCGTATACATGTCAATGACAGATGAGGAAGAGCGAGAATGTTCGGAGTTATTCAACAGAGCTTCAAAGTCATTGTCCAGAGCGAGTGTTTGAACCTCGGTATCGGCTACAAGCGGTGCAAATTGTGTGGAAATTAAGGAACTACAGCTGGCATTTGATAACGTTAATCTACTTTGATCGAGGAGGTCATCCATACACGTGGAAATAGTTCTTCTCTCAGGGCTGCCAGTCAGTACATTACTGGACACATTGTACATATCTGCTGATGAGGGCAGACCAAGATAATGGCTACTGCAAGGATCAGTAGCAACACCCTTATCGTTATTAAATAATTTATTTCTGTTACTGGCAGAACCAACATGAGAATTGTTCAGATATAAATGATCGCTGGAGGCATTAGATTCCGTGTTCATGGAAGAATTCATATATACTTTGCTAGATTGGGAATGAGTTTCTGTGGCGTTCCCCAGAGAATGGAAAAACGATTTATTAGTAATGTCGTTAATATTGGAATGCTGACGATCGAGTTTACTTGCATCAGTTTCAGCTTTTGAGGGCCGAAGTAGGAAACTGTCAGTATTGCCATTGTTGTCTGCTGTACCAATTCCTTTTTCAAAAGTTAACAATGACGAATCCGTGATATCCAAGGGGGAGGTACCAGTTGATGCAAAATGGCGCTCATTGTCAAAGGGTCCCATCTGAGCATAATTTAGCTCGTCATTAGAGTCCCCAATATCCGAAAAAGTTGCATTACTGCTTAAGATCGGATCTTTATTTACTAGGGAACACAACAAACTACCATTGCTACTATTATGCACAGGATGTTTTCTCTTGTCTTCTTCTGGTTCCTGGCTTGCAATTGATTCCAAACCATGGAAAGAACTGCTTTGAGAATTCGTACTGGAGAAACTGGTTAAAGAACACTCAGAATTTTTAAGGTTCTGGCCAATGAAGCTTCTAAATGGTAATTTGGTACTTGTCTCATTTACAATCTCTTTAGCTTTGCCGGGATCCGAAACTGGCGATTGGCTCTGAGAAATTGAAGGTTCAAGAGTTGTACTTTCACACTCATAGTTGTTATTGGTATGATGGCTGGTAAGGGTGTTTAATAAACTGGTACAGTTACTATCATCCACATCCTGATTGAGGTTGGCTGCGAATGAAGGATAGGAATTGGGAGACTCTTGGCTAGCTAGACTGGTAGGAACAGGCTCAGGAGTTAGAGAGGAATAAATTAAACATATTGCAGGTTCTGTTTGCATTGTGGACTCCATGTTATCCTCAAGAAGAGATTTGGTGCCAACTATGTCATTATTACAAGGTGTATTGTCATTAGTCGAGTCATTAGAATCAAGTGTAGAGAATGATAATGTCTGTGGATGAGGTGGTTGTTCATAAGCACTGGGCATCTGATAGAGGCTACCGACATTCTTGACCATCATGTGTTGTAGAACCGAACTGATTGTTTGGGTCTCTGTACTTTGTTGACTGCTGAATGCGGAACAATTTTCAGATGCTGATTTTTCATTGGCCCAGGAATTCATGAGGCAGGTCATGTGGGTCTGAGTAGAAATGGCTGGGGCACTGTTAGATAAATTAGTCTGGGTGTGGTTGTCAGTCACTTCTCCAGTTGTACCTGGGGAAAAGAAAAAAAAAAATGAAGTCTCATGTATTAAAATGCAAGAATTTAAATCATTTAAAGCTCACAGGACCACATTGAAAACTACATTTCTGACTGAAATTCTGTTTCTTCCCTGCATATTAACAGATTTCACTACAAATCACATTCAGTGGGTGCAAACACAATTTGTCAGAGCTGAACTGGAAATAGTTTGAAATTTCCATCTAGCCTACAAAATTTAAGAATTGGTTTATGAATTAGGTTGCGAGTTCAATCTCTGGTCTGGGTAGTACAAACTCAGTTGTTTTTGCTTAGTGACATATCAACCTCTATGGCTTATTTAATGCTGAAATCTAAACATTTATTGTACATAATTTTATTTTATTTTTGAGATAATAACAGTTTAGCGACACAAGCCCTACTAATTAACCCATAGCTGTTGGGAGAAGAAGTGGATTCATACCTTTCCCAAGAGTATTTATGTGTAAGTGAATACAACAAACCCAACTGAAATTGGAACTTGGCTCTCTGATTAACAGCTCCAAATCATTATCTGTTACACAAACCATATATCCAAGCTTAAAGCACTTAATATTCTTAAACAGTCACCCATCTGGCTACTGACCAGGCTCGATGTTGCTTAACTTTGGAGATTGTATGGGAACCAATGTTTCAACATGATATGGCTGTAAGTTACAAACTCAGCCTTAGTAGAAACAAGACTAGTAATAACCGAGCAGTAATTAAAAAAAAAAAAAAAAAAAAAAAAAAAAAAAAAAAAACTAAAGTGACAGTTTATTTTATTTTTTTGGTTGATGGTTCAACCCATTGAAAGTTATTTAAAGCCAGAACATTTTTAGATTATAAGAATTATCTTACTTTTTTGGAGATAATGATTTAGTGATACAAGTCTTACTAATTAACCCATAGTTGGTGGGAGAAGAGGTAGATTCATACCTTTCCCAAGGGTATTTGTGTGTAAGTGAATATAATGAACTTGACTCTCCAATTAACAATTCTGTGGCATTATCTGTTACACCACCCACACATCCAAGTTTATAGCACCTGATATTCTTAAGTAGTCGTCCATCAAGGTGCTGACCAGGCTTGATGTTGCTTAACTTTGGTGATCATATGGGATTGGCGTTTCTATGTGATGTGGCCATAAGTTGAGTGGAGAGAGAAAGAACACAAAACAAAATATCCCTAGGTAGTAGGAGAATAAGAACTATCTACCATTGTAGAATATATATATATATATATATATATATATATATATATAGAGAGAGAGATATATATATATATATATATATATATATATTAGATAAAGAGAGAGAGATATAGTCTTAATTCCTGTTCTTTTATTGCCCTCTCTTCCTCATAATAGTTTTCTCAGTCTCTAACACTCAGTAACCCCTGGCGTCTTAGTGGGTTGCATGGGGTGAAATGATTAAAAAAGATTAAAAAAAAAAAAAAAAAAATCAACAAAATTAATTAGTTAAGGATACATTTTGTTTTATATATTTTAGCCCATTACCCAAGTTTCTGATGAAAATTTGGATATAAATTTTGGATTTCATAGATATGTATGTATATATAAAAATATCCATGGCCACACATATTATATATATATATATATATATATATATATGCACGCACACATGCAGAGACAAAGAAGTGTGTGTAAGATTTATGTTTTTACAGATAAAAATAAAAGGTTAATCAGAACAATTACCATGAAAAGACAAAGGGAAAGTGATTGAAGCTGTGGTACCAGGTCAGGACCAATTGCAGATTCTTTTTGGGATTTTATCAAGAATACATAGCAGAAGCACCAGGCCAGATGTGACAGCAATATTCAATGCATGGATGAATGGTAAAACTTACCTGTTGTTTTGAGTAGAAGAAAGTCTGTTGCATTTTCTGGGCTTGCTATTTCGTCTCGCTCTCCTTGCTGTGTGGTCGAAGCCCGACGTCTTTTCTTCCATCGAGGTGATTGCATCTCCATGGTTTGTGTATGACTAGACTCCATTGTGTAATTCTTTTGCGCTCTCTGTTTGCTAACTTGTGACCCCTGGGAAATGCGTTGTATAGGAATCTGGGCTGTTGACATGGCTGTAGTGAGAATATAATCACCAACAGTTTGGGTGCCAACCATATTGTGGTGGGATTTCTTTTTCACTGGTGGTACGCTCACAGCTGTTTGGATGCCAGTAGAAGATGTGAATTTTTGCAGGGAATAGTTTGGGTTTTTTGATAGGCGTTTGTTAACTTTGCGTCCTGGATTGGCAAAAAATGTACAGTCGGTTTGTGCAATATTCCGACAATATTTTGGCCTCTGGTGACTGGGGTTGTGGAGATATGGCATCACAGGTTCTAATGATGCCGATGACGTCAGTGTCATGTGATTCTTTGCTGCCATATCACGATCTGTTTGGATGCTTATGCTTCTAGATGCAACTGATGCAGCAGATGTTGATTTCTCAAATGGAACAGTTAATAACTGATTAGGAGTTGCTATTTCTGAAGTCTGAATCGTTTTTTACTGCAGGGAGTATAGTTGCATTTATAGTCGGTTTAGGAAGAAGTGGTCTTAATAACAAACTTCCCAAGTTGGAGGAGTTGTTTTGAATGTTGGGTGAAGGAGATGGATTAGGAGGTGTTGCTTGCAGAATTAGAATTGTTTGAGCAGGAGCGCTGGAAGGGAGCTTACTTGATCTGAAAGAAAAAAATTTAAAAAAAATAAGCAAAATTTAACAATCTTATCTGGAAAAAAGAAAAGAAAAAAAGAAAGAAAAAAGAAACAAGAAGAGAATAAAAAAAGAGAATAAAAAATAAGAAAAGAGGAAAAAGAAAAGAGAAAAAAGAAAAGAGAAAAAAGAAAAGAGAAAAGAGAAAAGAGAAAAAAAGAAAAGAGAGAAAAAAGAAAAGAGAGAAAAAGAGAATAAAAAATAAGAAAAGAGAAAAAAGAAAAGAGAGAAAAAAGAAAAGAGAAAAAAGAGAATAAAAAATAAAAGAGAAAAAAGAAAAGAGAGAAAAGAGAGAAAAAAGAAAAGAAAAGAAAAAAGAGAGAAAAAAGAAAAAGAAAAAAAAGAAAAGAGAGAAAAAAAAAAAAGAGAAAAAGAGAAAAAAAGAGAGAAAAAAGAAAAGAGAGAAAAAAGAAAAGAGAGAAAAAAGAAAAGAGAAAAAAAGAGAAAAAAGAAAAAGAAAAGAGAAAAAAGAAAAAAGAAAAGAGAGAAAAAAGAAAAGAGAAAAGGAAAGAGAAAAAAGGAAAAGAAAATGAAAAGAGAAAAAAGAAAAAGAAAAGAGAAAAAAGAGAAAGAAAAGAGAAAAGAAAAAGAGAAAAGAAGAAAGAGAAAAAAGAAAAGAGAAAGAAAAAGAGAAAAAGAAAAAAAAGAAAGAGAAGAAAAGAAAAGAAAAAGAAAAAGAGAAGAGAAAAAGAAAAGAAAAAGAAAAAGAGAAGAGAAAAAGAATGAAAAAAAAGAAGAGAAAAAAGAAAAGAGAAGAAAAGAAAAGAAGAAAAGAAAAGAGAAAGAAAAGAGAAAAGAAGAAAAGAAGAAAAGAAAAAGGCGGTATTACAAAAGGAGATTTTTTTCTCTTGACCCTATTATTACTGTATACTCCCTTGGCAATTATTATTGTTTAAAAAGCTATCTTTAGAATTGACAAAAACATTAGACACGTCACATACCTTGTGACAAGTGAACAAAATGATCACAAAAAAGGTTTGTCTATGAAACTCTGGAGTTGGGTTATGGAAACTGAGATATGAAGAAAAGGCATGGCATTAGAACAATCTACCCTTGTAAACTAAATGTTGTAGCATACCTATGGACGATATTAGGTATGTCCCCATTCACATAAATACAGTAGTAAATACTGTATGTTGGTCTGCAGTTGGAGATTCATCTCCAGCTGTGTTGGTCAAACTCTCTGTCTCCAGGATGCCCAGATGAGGCTATGTCGAAGGGCAGAGCCTCATCTTGGGTAACAGCTACCTGACCCAGTTTTATATGGGGGTCAATGGGGAATTTTTGGCCGAGCCTACAGGCTCAGATACTCCACATTAAATTTGGCCTTGTCCACATCTGACTGCGTGGGGCACTTGGTAGATATCCTGCAGTTGGAGACTCATTGTGAAATTCACTTGACTCACTTCTAGCAGTTGACTACTTCTACGCACCGCTGGTGAATCTTATGTGTTGTTCTTATCCTAAGTATTATTGTTCACTACCAACCCTTGTGCGATTATTCTATTCAGTAATCTTCCTTAGGTTACAACACTAAAAGGGTTCAGTTCAAAATTCTAAAGTATATCACATGAAGAAGGCTGGAGTGTACAACGGCTGAAATGTTGTGAATATGGCAACAAAGATGAGGACAACAGTCTGAACAATGTAAATAGTGTAAATAGTTATAAAACCTCATCTCAGAAATATAGACTCTGAATATGGCAATAAAGATGAGGATAACAGTCAAAGAAATGTAAATAGTGTAAATAGTTACAATACAGGTTGTATTGGATACTATTATATCTCTACACTGGTTTGGAAATAGTACTAAATGCTATTTTGTTTGTAGCACAAATGTTAAGGTCGACATTTCATGGGATCTTGAAAATGTCTGTATATGTTGACAGCTGTCAATGTAAGTTTTATAAGACCATAGTAACAATATTATTACATTTTAGTGCCAATTGGTGGTTATCAAACTTTGTCAAGCTGCTGCCTTATTGTCTATCAGGCCTCTTCCCTAATGCCTCTGACCACACCCATATGAAAATACTGCAAATTCAGCAATAAAAATGGTGTGCCAAAAGGACACTTTTTCTCTTGATTCCACTATTCCTGTATACCTCCTTGACAATGTTTATTGGTTTAGAATGGTAGAAACTAGGTTTAGAATTTTACTAACAACAAAAATGTTACAAACTATTTACTTGCGAGATTATTTATTTACAAGATTATAAAAATACATGAATCGACTACAATGCAAAATTTATCATTTACCGTTTTATATCATTTCCCATTTTATGAAGAACGCAATATAAAGAGATTTTTTTTATTCATAAATTTATAAAAACGTCTGAGAACAAGAAAATTAAAATAAATACAATGATGAGTATTTATAAATTTTGAAAAAATGCAATTTCTGGGTATTTCGTTCATTTGTTCTCACATAAATTCATGAAAATCGGTTGAAAGCATCTATTCCACTGAACCAAACATTCTTTCAATTTTAGGCAAGATCACATTCAATATTTCGTGATCTAATTTTACCCAGTATTTCTATTGATTAGGAAATCCTTGATCCAAGATCATGATTACCATATAAGCTGACGGTATGTACAGTGCATATTTTTTTGCATGAATTTTAACCTCTCCAGAAAAAAATTACTTGTGTATAATGCAACCAGTCACTGAAAATGCATGTATTAAATTCTAAAAAATTAAATAAAATTACCTATGCATAGTGTGACCCCGTATTTTTTGGCACAAAAACTTGCACTATACTCAAGTATATAAAATAACTACTATGCAATATTTATTATTTATCATTTTCTAAAGAAATATGAAAACAATTTTTTTTATTAAAAAAAGGGCTGAACTATAGAGCAAGAAAATGCTAATAATGATATGATTTTTCCTGACATGCATTTTTTTTATTGGATTATTTTGTATCTGATCACTTCTTTTTTTTTTTTTTTTTTTAAATGGTTACTGAGACATTAGGTTTATAAGCCCCACCAAAATTCACTCATAGATGTCCCCAAGGACACACGGCCCAGTGGATAAAAGCATTGGTTGAAGTAATCCAAAAGTGACTTGACCCAAAGAGTTGTAAGTTCAACACAAGGCCACAGCAGAGGTGAACAAAATCTTTGAGAGCCGAGTTACTAAAGGGAATTAATTGAAACTGAGACATCGAGAAAAGGCATTGCATGTGAAACTAGAACAATCTACCCCAGTGGACTAAATAAAGAGTTTGGTTCAAAATTTCAATGTATATCACCTGAAGAAGGTCAGAACATACAACAGCCAAAACATATATATGATATGACAATAAAAATGCGGACAACTATCCACGCAATATAAATAGTGTAAATATCAAATGATTATTTACATTCAGACTATTGTCCTCATATCTGTTGTTGTTACATGATTTTTCATCCAGCCATCATCAAGGGCATATCCATCTGGGTAACCCTTTTTTTATAATCATAATCTTGGGTCAAGAATTCCTAATCAATAGAAATACCTGGTAAAAATTAAACCTCAAAATATTGAGTGTTTGTGATCTTGCCTAAATTCTACAATTAAAAAAAATGTTTGGTTTAGAGGAAAAGATACCCTCAACCTATTTTAGAGAATTTATGTTGCCAGAGCAAATGAAAGAAATAGAATGCAGTTGTTGGCATTCTGATCTGGGTGGTGTATGGGATCTCAGGAAACAAACATTTGAATTTAGCTTTGAACAACAAAATAAAATAAAACCAGTTGCTCACGTATAACACTCAAGTTATTTTTATTCTTTGTAAAGCATACATGTGTCATCTCCATTGGTTCAGCAATCACAAGTGGATTGTCTCCCTTGACTGACAATGGTTTTGTTAAGTATCTCCACATACCAGTGTTTCTCATTTCTAACAAAATTTTCCATGTTTCAAAAATTATGTATATACAATACATAAAACCTTAAACATTTCTGGAATACTAGTAGGGATCTTTGCTTAAAGAAAAAACATTTTCTAAATGTCTACTTAATTTCTTAGACAAAGCCAAGTTTTGTTGCCATAACATTATATATGAAAATTTCTCCAATTTAACCAGTCGAGAAAACAATATTTATGAATAAAAATGACAATAGGAAAACTAAATATTTATAAATATAAATATTGTCTTTTCTACTGGTTAGATCGGAGAAATTTTCATATTTGTCGACATGGAAAACAAAAACTTACACACAGATCGAGTCAGAATATACAGGAAACGCGTCAGCAATTACTAGTTTTCCTATTGTCATTTTTATTCATATATATATATATATATATATATATATATATGTGTGTATTTAGGTAGAAAATTCTCTTTTAGGTATATCTGACTGAATAAATTACAGACATTATGTCTGCTAATTTTTAACAAATACATTAAATTTCTTTTATTTTCATTTCTTCAGGGGGCCCCAAGTAATACAAAACTATATGTTGTTCAAGGGTACAAGTATTTATACAAAACTGTGAGTTGCTATCCATTACTGTAATTTTTCATTATATATACATACATACATACATACATACATACATGAAAAATTTCTCAGAGTTAACTTGTAGAAAAAGGTAATATGTATAAAAGGTAAAAGACAATATGAAAACTGTATTATTAACTGATGTGTTTCGTCCAATGTTGACTTTTTTTTTTGCTTGAAAAAGATCACATTGGACAAAATATGTTGGCTAATAATACAGTTTTCCTATTGTCTTTTACCTTTACACATATACACACACAGCGCCTTCTTGGATCTTAAGTTGTTGGTTCTTTTGCCAATAATTTATTTATTTATTTATTAAGAACTCTGCCTTTGTTGTAACTCAGTTTTTGGTGTCAATATTTTCCTGTATTCTTTATATTAGTGACTGCTACACATCTCACTTAAGTGTAAGAAACTTAGGTTTTGTCAAACAGAATTTGTTAAAGAAAAAAAAAGAAGGAATTCTTATACTTTCTGCTGCCTCCTATTGATATTTTTGTTACCTCGGCAAGGGAGCAGGACTTCCCACTTTGAGAATCTTGAGTGTACATAAACTAAATTTCATTTAAAAAACATGATTAATCAAGCATGATTTTTATCTTTTCTTTCAAGCTTCCTTTTTATCCAGTTAACAAGGTAAATTTTTATCTACTTTTACCTTAAACTCCATTTTTTTGTATAGACAATTAAATTGGCAGTATTATAAATGGAGAATAGCCAATCAAATCAACAGTAATATAAAAAGGGATTAGTCAATCAAATCAACAGTAATATAAAAAGGGAGTAGCCAATCAAATCGACAGTAATATAAAAAGGGAGTAGCCAATCAAATCGACAGTAATATAAAAAGTCAATCAAATATCTGTCAAGAAATTCAATAAAAACAACTTTTCTTTTTTTGAATTTATAGAAGACCTAATTTGCAGATTATTTAAACTATTAAGAATTTAATAAAACTTTTTTTTAATTTTGTTGGATTAAAAATTTACCTCAGATTTCTGCATTCTTCTGGGATTTCATGTTGCTTGATGTTGCAGTGATTAATTGTTGCTTCAATACTGCTGAAAGGACAATCACAGGTTTTGCAACGAAATATCATGCCACATGTTAGTTGGTGCCGCCGACAGTCTCGTTCTAGTCCAAAGCCCTGTCCACACTTGGCACATTTATGTTTCTTGTCTGCATGAAGTTTCATGTAATGCTGAAAAAAAAAAAAAAAAAAAAAAAAAAAAAATTGCAATTTTTGACTATTTATTTGCAATTTCCATTAAATTCACGACATTTTATTCTTTTTTTCTGGGATATCTTTTATTTACATTATTCACATTTGGACTAATGTCCTGATCTTTTGTCTATATTTCCGAGATGAGATATTGTAACTATTTACATTGTTCAGACTAGTGTCCTCATCTTTATTGTCATAGTCACAATGTTTCAGCCATTGTATGCTCCAGCCTTCTTCAGGTGATTGAAATTTTGAACTGCACCTTTTATTTAGACCCCTAGGGTAAATTGTTCTTGTTCCTACATGCCATACCTTTTCTGGATATCTCAGTTTTGGTTAATTCTCTTTAGTATGTCAACTCTCTGAGTTTTTGTTCACCCCTGCTGTGTTGTGGCCAAGTATTGAACTCTCAACTCTTTGGGTCAAATCACTGACTATATGTAGATCACCACCCACTGTGGGTGGAAGTTGAAATAATAGACAGAGAATATCACTGGAAGAGATGAAAACTTAAGGAATCTACACATATGCTAGGCCACAAAAATCTCATAAGCCGACCAAGCATAGAAATGAATACAATATGGGAACCAGTAATACAGAGTGCTAGAGAACAATAACAATAGCAATTGTATTATGAACTCTGGTAAAAAAAGTTACAGAGACATTAGGTCCAAAAAATGACTTCACTGATGTGCCCAAATACATGTGCCCATTGGATAAAAGTGTTAGTTGAAGTAATCCAAACTTGACCCAAAGAGTTGTGAGTTGAACAAAATCTTGGAAAGTTGAGTTACTAAAGGAAAATAACAAACTGAGATATCCAGAAAAGGCATGGCATGTGGAACTAGAACAATCTACCCCAGTAGACTAAAGAAAGGGTTTGGTTCGAAATTCTAGTGTATGAAATGTTGTGATCATGACAAAGATAAGGACAACAGTCTGAACAATTTAAATAGTGTAAATAGTTATAATACCTCATCTCAGAAATATAGACAGATCCTGAAGAAGGTTGGAGCGTGCAATGGCTGCAACATTATGAATATGAAAATAAAGGTAAGGACAAAATTCTGAACAATGTAAATAGTTGTCATCTTTGTTGTTATCAATGTTTCAGCTGTTGTGCCTTCTTCAGCTAGCTGTCAATTTGGTTTACTTTTGGGGAATTTCAAACTGAACCCTTTATTTAATTTACAGGAGTAGATTCCTTCTGCTGTCTATGTCATGGATATCTTTTCTTGTTCTTATTTAATACTGCCCAATTATTGTTAGCCTTGTTCCTTTGCGTGTAAGTCTGTCCAGTGGGTCAACAGGCAAATGGATTAAAGCATTGGTCTGTGAATTTGATAGCATAGTAATTGTGAGTTCAATTCCAGGACAAGGTAGCACAAACTAAAGCACCAATGAAAGAAGAAGGAAGTAAAATCATCAAAATAGCACTACTGCATTAACAACCTTATTGGGACAGGCCTGTACATGCAACATCCGTAGTCATGTCTGCCTCTCATACATTAAATTTTGCAACCACATGAGAGTCTGACTTTTGACCATGGAAAATATTTGGTCATCTGAAACATTGATGCAAATGAATATTACCATAAATCCTTCCAACATATCAAGGTTTATAAAAAGAATCTGGTTCATCTCCAATATCTACATTGATGGATTTGTTTCATCCAGAATCTGCCAATATCTACAGCAAAATAATTAACAATAACATTCTATATAAGCAGCATTTTATTGTGTCACTATATGAAGGGATAGTAAAAAGTTGTGGGCTCAACCCAGTTCTTAAAATCTGATGAAACATGGCCAATTGTTTTTTGGAAGGGTTTCTTGATCAGCACACTTTTGCATGTAGTAATTCTTGCAGGGGTCATTTTATTACTAAATAACAATAGAAAGATGATCCCCCACTTTATATCCAGTATAAACATACCTACAACAGTTCTTGACTCAACCCACTTCACAAAATCTGGCCAAGTGACCAAACATTGGAATTGTTTTTGGAAAGACATCTTTGTCAGCATACTTTCATATGTAGTAATTCTTTCATTTTATTATTTAATAACAACTGAAAGGTGATCCCCCATTTTATGTCCAGTATACCTATGGAGTTGCTGAAAAGTTCTTGACTCAACCCATTTCCCAAAATCTGGACAAATGAATAAACATTGGAATTATTTTTTTGAAGTACCTCTTGGTTAAACCAAGAACATTTCAGCACCCCCTCATAATCATTAGATGTTTTGATATACTCACAGGTCAGGAATAGACAGGATTGGCAGACTATATGGATTTTTTTCTTTTTCTAACCTACCCAGTGTTATTCCAGACCCCACTTTTGTTTATTTTATTTTTCACTGTCTTTTCTAAACTGTGCTCTGTTTATTCTAACCTCTTCTCCCTCCATTTTTATTCAAAAAATAATTCTGGATCAATTTTCCAAAATACAGTTCTGTTCCAGACTTAAGAGTATATGTTTTATAAGTTCTACTCATATCATGAATGGTATAAACAACTTGTATTTTTAAATATTTTAAATAACCTAATTAATGTTTATAGTAGGTACCTCCACAAAAACATGATACGTAATATTTAAAATGAACATTTAATAATGTAAAAATTTTCTTGAAACTTTTATTTTAGTTTTTGTTTGTTTTGTTTTACGGTATATCAAACTCAATAGGTTATTTAATACCAACAAGATTTTTATTGTTAATAATATTTTTTTAATTTTTTTTTTTTAATGTACAGCTGGTATTTTTATTTATTTTTTTCAAAAATGTATTGCTGGTAATCATTTTTCTTCAAAAATGTATTGCTGGTATTAAAACGTATTTTTACACTTTCATAGTGTTTTGACCCCAGTTTGGGGGTTAACTATTTACCCATAGCTGGGGCCCTAACAGGTGCTACCACCCTGGGCCATGGTGGACCTGGGAACACCAGCAATTAAGAGGTCATTCCATGCTCCTCAAAACCTTCTGATCAGAGGCCTTGCCATTGGATGTAGCTTATCGTCATACCCAGGACAGTATTTTAGTTTTAATTTCAAGCTGATAGATTAAATTTAATATTTACAATAAACAAAATACTATGCTGATTGGAATGAGTTCTTGTTTTGAAATTTCTAAAATTAAATAGTTTTTTTTGCCCTTCCTTGCCTTTAAAGGCAAGGAAGGGCAAAAGGATTTTTGAATTAAGCATGGGCGACGCCAGGCAAGGCTGCTAGTATGTAATAAAGAAAAACAAAAAAAAGAGAAGAAAAATATGGAAACCTGTTTGAGTAGTTTCTTAGATGTAAAATGTCTTTTTGATAAAACATTGTACACACAATTCTGCACTGGGCAATGGTATTGTTTGATGGCATTTTGATCTGCATCGGTTTTTTCCTCAGAGGTAGTTCCATTTGAATTCTGAAAAATAAAATATGTAAAATATTAGAACTAGTGCCATTAGTAATTGTGTGTCCTCTTAATTCATTCCATGTAAACCATAATTGTATTTCTGACTATTTGCTATCTACTGGTCATCAATCAATCTTTTGCTCCACCTGTTGTTTTTTCTTTTTGCTGTATGTCCAAGCCCACCTCTATTTTTTCACTTAATCATGTGAGGGGATGCAGAAAAGTTCTGAAATTTATCACTGTTTGGTTGACAATTTTTCAGTAACATCATATATATTTTTTTTTCTTTTGCTATGTTCTGTAATTTGTACACAGCATGCTCTTTTCATTCTTCTCAAATGATTTTTTTAATCTTAGAAATTTAGGAAAATATTCTCTGTAATCTAATGTTTTATTGAATTTTAGAAATGTTAACTTTAAGTTTACTGTAATTATCACTCTTATTTTCTGATAAATGTTGTGTATGGTCGTCTGTACTTACAAAAATTGGCATGTTAAAATTCTTTTTAAAATATTGGTGTTTGATGATTTGTATTAAACTTTTTCATTTATGATTAGTAAATATAGTTTTCACTTAATAATAATATCATTTAAAAGGCATAATAATAATACAGAATTTTAAAAAGATTTAAAACTTAATAAATTTTTCTAATGAAAATTTAAAATAAAATGAAAACAATTGTTGTAAAGATTCATTATTTATTGAAAACAGATTTTTTTTCTTAAGACAATAGTGGCCTTAATATATATTATAAAAGCAAAGAAATCAGCATGTTTATACATCTACAAAAAAAGTAAAAATTCCTTTTAAAATATTGGTGTTTGATGAATTATACTAAGCTTTACCAGTTATAATTAGTAAATATAGTTTTTACTTAATAAGACTATGATCTAAAAGGCACAGAGTAATACAGAAAATTAAAAGATTTAGAATTTTATAAATTATTCTAATTAACATTTTTTAAAAATAAAAATTGTAAAAATTCATTATTCATCAAAATTTTTTTCTCAAGACAATTGTATTCTTAATATATTTTATTCATAAAAGCAATTAAAAGCCTTTCTAATTACATAACATCTTAGGTTTATTGCAATTTTATTTTACGATACAGTTTGGTAAATGGTGTTTGACAAAAACAAATTGATGATTTAAATTCTCCAAGGAATCCTGCTTTTAACTAATATAAATCTGAAGAGGCTGAAATTTTAAGTTCTTGAAATTTCATAAAATTAAGTGTGTGTACAGGGGTGGGAGATGGGGTTAATAGGAGTAAAAAATGTATTACATATATATTTTTTTACCAAGATATTCTAAAAAATTTAAAAAGTAATTTAATTCATTTGTAAATAAGTTATGAAATTTTCATTAAAATCCCACAATTATTTGATTTTTGCAAGAATTTCCAAAACAATGTATTTTTAACACCAAAAAGATGCTAAAAATCTTTAAACTAATCTTTGATTCATCTGCTTGTGGATTATCAGTTATTTGATCAAGATAAATACTTAGCTGAATATTTTTTGACCAAGACAATATTCAAGTTTGGAGATGGAGCTGAGGTTACTGCAACTAGGAAAGTGAAATTTCCAGCAGTTATTAGTAGAAAAGGGGTTATGATTGAGTCCTGTGTAGTGAATAATGGGATTCCATTGTTGTTGATTAAAGTCTCTATGAAGAAAGCTGGAATTATTTTAAATTTTGTGAATGATACAGCAAAGGTTCTGGATGATATGACAGATTTGGTTTGCACCTCATCAGGCCATTACTGTATTCCACTTACAAATTTGTTATTTGACAAGCAGGGTAAATTTAAAGCGTCAGGGATGTTGCACACTACTTTTGTAAAAACTTTAACACCAGAAGAGAAAAGAAAAAAAGCAATGAGCCGACACAGACAATTTTCACACGTCTCAAAAAGAAGAACTCTACTCTCCTAGTTTTTGTTCAACTCTAGTGTAGCCAGGTATTGAACTTACAGCCCCAATGTATAAAAGTGTTGGTTGAATCCAGTGATTTGATCTAAAGAGTTGTTAGTTTAGAGTTGAGTTAAAGGGAGATAACTGACACTGAGACATCCGGAAGAGGCATGACACATGGAACTAGAACTGGGGTCAAGAACTTTTCAGCAACCCCAATCAGCAACAAAGACAGATACTAAGTGATCAGTTTTCTACTTGTAAAATCGCATACCAAGAAGCTAAAAATATCAACCTATACTTATTTGTTTAAGGTCTTTATTTAATCTTTTAAATGTTTATTTTTATATTTAAACAAGAATTTCTGTTAAAGAACAAGAAAATGATAAGTTATATTTAAAATATTTAGAATATGATCCAAGACAAAAACCGCTACATCTGAAGTTGTTGTTTTATGTACCATGCCCCTTAAAGACGTTGGCAATCATGGCTCTCCACAATTTCCCATTCTTTGTGGCTCTTGATAAATTTAATCTTCTTTTTTTATCTCTTCTAAACATTCCATCATCTATTTACTCAAGTTTGCTAGTTTTATGTGTTTTCCTCTGTCCCTCTTGCCTTCAATAAATCCTGTGAGTATCAAATTTTCCAAGCCCTCTTTCCTCATTATGTGCCCTAGAAATTTCAACTTTCTGATGTAAGTATAAGTGTCCTTTTTGTTTCCATTTTCTCTAAAGCTTTGTCGTTGCTCACATGTTCGGTTGATAGTATTCTCAGCATCCTTCTGTAGAACCACATTTCTGTTGTTACAAGGCTCTTTTTCATCTGTGAAGAGATTGTCCAGCATTCACTGCCTTATAGGAGGACTGATATTATGTAACAGTTTTGTATTCTTTTCTGTTTTTAATACTTTGCTTAGCTTTTAGAAAGCATCTTTTGCTATACCAATACATCTTTGGATTTCAGTGTCGCACTTTCCGTCCTCTTTTAAAACACTTCCTATATATTTAAATTTTTGTCCTTACTTGATTTTGGTATCCCCCTTTTGTAATTTGCATGTTGGGCTGTCCCTTTTGCTGACATTCTATCTTCTTGCAATTGATGTTTAGTCCTTTCTTCATGCTTTCCTTCACTAACTTCTGTAGAAGTTCTTGTAGATTTCTTTCCGTGTCTGCTATCAACACTGTGTCATCTGCATATCTTATGTTGTTAAGATGGTGGCTGCCAATAATGAATCCTGGTAGGACTTCTAATTCTCTCATAATCACCTCACTGTAAAGGTTGAATAGGTCTGTTGAGAAGATACATCCTAACCTTATGTCCCTTTCTATCTATATATAAAATTCTATGACTTCCATTAGTCTGTGTCACAAAAAAAAAAAAAAAGCCATACATTGACCATTTGAAACCAAATTTGGGGGAGGAATACAAACAAGTAAGTGGGTACAAAATATAGTTGGTTTTACTAGAGTGTATAGCTTAGTACAATACATTTTCATTAATTTTTTCAGAAAAATTAAGTTTTATTATTAAATATGCAAAATACTCCCACTATTTTAAAAACAATTTAATGATTAGAATAGCGAATACTTGAAAAATGCAATATTGTTTTTTTTGCATATTCTTTAAGATTTTATGTACAAGAATCTAGTTTCCAGTTCGCACAACATTTGCAAGAACTAGAAACAAATCAAAAGGCCAAATGCTTCAAAAAGTTGGAATTTGGATCCAGAAAGAAATATTTACACATGACCAGTTATATGTTGCATGCTCAAGAGTAAGAAATCCTATTCTTTGCTGTAAAAAAGGAAAAAAAAAAATTTCTTAAAAAAATATTGTTTACTATGAAGTCCTATATAATTAAATTAAAGAAATTATTAAACTGAATTAGGGTTTTCGTCAAAGTATTTTTCAAACAAATCAGCTTATTCAAATTTCATAGATTGTTTTGTGAAATTGAAATAATAAATCTTGACAAAAAATATCTTAGCAATAACTTCAGCAATTCTAAATACTAAGAGGATTTCAACATGCTGATGCGTGTGTTTAAAAAAAAAAAAAAAAATTATTAAATTTCTAGTTTTTGTATATTTACCGAATTCATTTTTTATCCATAGGCAGGTTGGTCGACTAAAAATTTTTAGTCTTTCTAAGCAATTTGAAATTAAAAAAAACAAAAATAGATTTTTGATGTTTGGTCAGATTTTGGGTAGTGAACTGAACCAAAGACTTTTCTAAGCAGCAGCCCCCACCCTGTACAAGCAAAACCAAGAGAGCATCACTTACCTCAGTGATTCTGTGAGTTTTAGAAAGATGGATGCTTAGAGAGCCAGCATGAGGTAGGACACTTGAACAGCCGTCTACAGGGCAGGGAATGTTGACTCGGACCACAGATAGTTCTTCAGCCTTAGGACAAACTTTTATCACACTGCTTACCATTCTTTTAGTCAGATTGTCCCAGATTCAGCATCTGGTGACAGAACAGGAAATTCTTTAAATAGACATTTTCAAAGATAATTTTCATTTGAGTTTTTGTGATGAAGAATTATCATACATTTTTCCAATTGGACTAGTATCCTCATCTTAGTTGTTATACACACAGCATTTTGGTTATGGTACTCTTTCACCCTTTTTCAGGTGTCTATTGTTGTTGATAACTGTCTTGGAATTTTATATCAAATCATTTATTCAATCCACAGAAACAGACAAGTGACAAAGCATATGTAACTTTTCAGAACTACCATGTACAGGGATTGAACTTATGACTCACAGGGAACCATGCTTAATTGATATTTCATATCAGTTAATATTCACCAGTCTTATTCAACTTTGTATCACTTTATCATTTCTTCCACTTGTGACTTTTCAGGGATTGAACTCACAATCTCCAGTGGACCAGATATGTTGTAATTATAACAATAATTATTTTGTTGTGAGTATAGCAACCAAAATGAGGCTGATGGTTTGTGAATAGCAAAGCAAATAATAATTATATTATTAATTTCTCTTCTCTAAAGAGAAACATTTTTTCTTTCTTAGAATAATACATGATTTAAATGAATTTAAAACATGAAAACGTTATTAAAATAAACAATTGTTATTTTAATCAAAACAATGCCAGGTTATTTTTAGTCTTTAATCTATAAACTGCTTTAAAGGCCAGGGAAGTAAGAAAAACATTTTTCAAGATTTTAAAATGAGAACAATCTTTCCTAGTGGATTGAATAAAGTATGTGGGCCATAATTTTGGAAAAGGTTATGCTACAATCTGATTGGTTGGTTGATTTTGTCTGGCAGCATTGTCAACTGCTATGGGTTATTTTATGCCAAAATCTAAATATTTTGTACACAATTTTGTCTTCAGCTACAGATATTTTCTACATAATTTCATTCTTTCAGGATAAATGTATGTTTTTTAGATATATAATTTGTAGATGATAAAATGTATTGTTGGTAATTTTTTTTTTTTTTTTGTAAAAATGTATTACTGGTAATTTTACTATAAAATGTATTGTTGGTCATTTTGCTAAAAAAATGTATTTTTATATTTTTGTAGTGTTTTGATATTTGTTTGGGGGTTCACAATTTACATATAGCTGGGACCCTAACAGGTGCTACCACCCCAGGTCAGGGTGGACTTGGGAACTCCAATGAGGAGCTAGTTCCACGCTTCTCAAAACCTCCTGTCTGCCAATCAGAGGCCTTGTTGCTCAATGTTGTTTATCCTCATACTACAATCTGAAGGATACCTGAACAAGGCCAAGGTTACAATGGCTGAAACAGGAGTAAAAACAAGCAAAATAAGGATACTAGTTCAAATCTAAACACATATGATAGCGTTTTAAAAATAGTTTTTTTTTTATAAAGCATAAGAAATAAATATAATAATTAGCATTGTTTGTTGTAGGAGAATAGCAAAAACCAGTTCCTTTTCATTATATTCACTTGCATGCATACCCCTGGGATAGGTGTGAATTCACTTCTCCCACAGCTGTGGGTTAATTAATATTAAGATGTATCACTAAAAACATTATTTTATATTAAAAAAAAAAAAAAGAAGAGAGAGAATGAATTCTTACTCTCTAAAAATATTTTCTGACTTTAAATAACCTGAAAAGGTTTGATAAGCTGTAAAAAAACGAATCAACAAATGATAAGAAATTGTGAGGGAGCCATCATCGCTCACGTCCTGAAAGGAAGGATTTTGAACATGTTTATTTTCGTATAGTCAAAAATGTATGTAGTATTATCCCCCTAAAAAGAAATAACAACACCTAATTTGGAATAATGGTAGACTACGCCATAGGGTTCATGGTTTTTACTTTTTAAATTAAAGTAAATAAAAATCATTTTTTATACTAGTCTTTGATTTGCTATTACAAAAAGAGCAGATTGATTCTTTAATAAATTTAGGAGTCATTTCATTTCAATAACTGAAGATTTGTTAGGATAACGAAATGACAACTCAACAATTCGTTTGTATCCCACACGACGAGCGGCTTGAACTAGTGCGATGTTTTTGGGCTGATTTATTTTTCAGGACGGATGCTGCTGACGTGAATTCTTCGCATGTTTCAGTGACGTCACACATTCCAGCAGGGACCACAGTATTTCATTTGTATCTATCAGCCCATCCTTGTAAAAGTGGAATACTTTTCGGTTCTGGATAGTGTTTATATCTTTACCTTTTCAAACTATTGTTAATTTAACGCCCTTAAATTTTTTTATTTTTTTTAACTAGCCTCATATTCTGAAGTCCTCAGTGTTCTGCTTCTTGTTACTATTTACTGGTCGAAAAATATCTTCCTGTGAAAATTGAAAATACATAATTTTTTGGTTCATAAATTTCAATTTTTAGTGACAGGAAAAAAAAAAAAAAAAATAAATTATTGCACTTTTGAACGGTGTTTTTTATTTTACGTTTTTATTTTTCGAATGCCTAATTTCCAAAGCCAAAAGAAGAGTGTTCAGAATATGAAGCTAGTTGAAAATATTTAAAAGAAATGTAAGGGAGATAAACGTGTGTTAGTTTGAAACGCTAAATTAAACAATACCCTGGCCATAAAAGCACACACACATACAGGCATATCGCACTGGGGGTTTTAAATAATTTTTTGTTTTGATGTTCACCGTTTTTCTCATATTTCATATGAATAAAGAAAGAGTTAAAGAAAAAAGAAAAAAAAAAATTGTCTTTAAAGTTTTTAGTGTCTTTTTTTATGTGTGTGGATTAAAAATGAAAATAAACTCTATATTTTCATTTTTAATCCACACACATATGTGGGGGGCTCTGTTGGGTGGCTTAGTAGTAGGTCATTAGACATTAATTTTAAGAAAAAAATAATAAAACTTAAACCTCAGGAACTAAACACGTGTACCCACTAATTAACGTTTTTTGTATTACTAAGTAAGTAATCCGTTTAAAACATTTAAAGAAAAAAAAAAGATACCCCCAGACGATTGGCTTGAATGTTTTCGGGGTGTGGGGCCGACCTTTATTGGGGTCTGGGAGTTGCGAGTAACAATCTGCACACCAGTAAAAAAAAAATAAAATAAAAAATTAGTTTACCACTGGGTAATGATTTTTTTAGGGCACCTGATTTAGTAGAGATGGTACTGAATAACTAACCATAGGGAATGAGAATGACTTGTTTAGTTTGCTGATACTGTGTAGAACTTTTTTTTTTTTTTAAATTAATATACGATTTTTTTTTTTATGAACAAATGCTTCACAGTTAGACAAGAAAAAAAAGATTTTTATTATTACCACAAATTATTAGAAAACATTTAAAAAAAAAAGAAAAAAAAAAGAAAGAAAATCAAACAAACATAATAAAATTTAAAACTAAAAAAATTAAAACGAAGTAACTTTAAATATAAATGTTAAAGTTTGTTTAAGTGACTTAAAAAAAAATATATATGTTTTTGTTTTCAGTAATTTAGTGTTTAAAGAAATTGACATGAAATGTACATACATTTAAATTGCTAAACTAAAAGTAAGACTCAGTGACTTCATAACTGCATATAAAACCCCCAGCAAACTTTGAATAATAAGAACAAAATTGAAAATAATCCTCTTTTCGGGGAGTAAATTCTTACCAACATTATCAGGATTCTTTCTAACGTCTTTTATGAATTAATGTTTCGCGTTGTTATAGGGTTTTTTTTTTTTTAATACAAGGGCCCACCATTTTGTAAGTAATGTTTGGTAAATTTCCATGTTTGTTAACCTAATTAAATATTCCGAATAATGAAGGTCATATAAAAGTCGTGAATCTCTAGTTCCATCACGCTGTCATAAAGTGTAAGTCACAGACTCAAAGGATGTCGACAAAACCGCAAAGAATCAAATCAAAACTCAACACGACATAGCAGTTGTTGGTCGTTCAAGCAGACGTTGTTATGAAGGCATCTGAGGTCTGATCAAATCCGTTGATAAAATATCGTTAGGGAAATTTGCCATCTTTTCCGATAAGTGAAGAATCCCTCAATGGCCGAGTGATAGATATCCAACGTGAAAATGACAAAGGTGAGTGGGTCAAGCGGGCGACGATAAGTGACAGAAACATTTTTGTTTTAAAAAGTCAATCAACAATATAAATTATTTAGTAGCGTGACATTTGTCTACTCACCGGGAACACGAGGAAAATTCTTTTGAGTTATTGCCCTTGACGGTTGTCTTCGACGCAGAGGTCAAGGGGTCGATCCTTGCTGCTGGCACTATCAAGTCTACTACAGCCTGGTTAATAATGATAAAATTCCTGATAATATTACTACTATTAAATAAGTGGAAATAAACCAATTGAAAGAAATACTAGTGAAAAATGAATAAGATTTGACATGGCTTCATAAAATTGCAGACTACTAATACTACTAGTCGAAATAAAGCAATTGAAATGAAAATGAAAAAAATACTAGTGAAAAATGAATAAGAATTGACACGGTTTCATCTAATAATAATAATAATAATAATAAAATTCCAGATAATATTACTACTAATACTACTAGTGGAAATAAAGCAATTGAAATGAAAATGAAAGAAATGTTAGTAAAAAATTATGAATGACACAAGTATATGAAAAATACTATAAAACTGTAAAAAGAACTTGATAAATTAATCATAAAAATCTTCCAATCATTTAAAGTTGACAAAATTATCTTTTCAAATCCATTCATATTATCAGGAATTGATTATTGTTTAGAAATGGAATTTTAATCAACAATACATTTAAAAATAAATTTAAAATAAAAAAGTATAAATTTTTTTATTAGTTACTAGTGTAAAATAATAAAAATTAACAATTAATTAAAAAAGTGTAAATGAATAAAAATTATAATCATCTAAGTTTGTCTATTACATGTACTTTTAAAAAAGGAATTTTTAAGGAAAGCCAGCCGCTTTAGAAAACAGTCTTACATTTGTCTGAAAATTTCTATTT